ACAGACCCTAAAATCTGTTAAAATATTGCAGGAAACCATAGCACCTTTCCCAAAGCCAACCTTAGGACTACCATATCAGGACACCAATAGTGCAGTCAACCACTAGGTGGCAATATAAAGAGACTCAAAACATTATTTGCTGCAACACAGCGGTCATCTGGATTTTTACAATCCACATATGGTAGTCCAGCCTGTGTGTGTGTGTGTGTGTGTGGGGGGGGGGGGTGTCTTTTGCTGCCATCCTGGGGTTTAGGGAAGTGTTTCTCAACTTCAGCAACATGAAAATCCATGGAACTCCCCAGCCAGCGTGCTGAGGTTAGAAACACTAGTTCAGAGTTAAGACTTCACCAGTTTTGGCCCAAAATTATCTGAGGAGCTGGGTTAAAATGGTGCCACCTAATTTGAGAAATTAAAAGAAATTAAACTAGACCTGACAAGAGTATAGATGAGTCCATACATGGAACTGACTGAAATCTGAACTAAAAATCTTTTGGAAGGAATCCTGAGTAACCAATTTTTCACTTGAAAAAAATTGAGGGTTTCAAGTTAAGAGTGCTCAGGCCTGACAGTAAAGGAATGTCCCATATTTTATCCTTCACTGCCTCGCTTCCTACACTGGGTTTTTATGGTTGTAAAAATCAAAGTGGAGCAGTGCTTGAATTTTGAGAGGAAAGAGGGGAGGCTTAATAAAGCAAACATCACTCCGATTCCTCCTAGTTTCAACCAAACCATGGTCCTCTGTAGCCTTCCAAAAGCAGTACCTGTGGGGCTGTAAAAGAAACACACCTCCCCTCACTTCTTTCTAATTTCACATTAGAGCCAAATCCTTGTTTTCCAGGAGCTATGGAGTTTAGCTGACATTTTACCCAGCCTCTTCTATCATTCACTTGGACAAAAGTGCTCTGTTCTCTTTGAAATCCTATGTAGAAAAAAAAGGTATCCTCATAGCGGCCCAATTTAGCATCCCTTCCCACACCAGTTGGAATATTTATACAAACTCTAGAATGGATAGCAATGCCGTAGTTTTCCACCAGGCCACGGTGTCCATGCTGTTTGTGGGTTGACGGATACATGAAAAGGGAGGCCTATTTCCAGGCTCAGCAGGCGGTAGATTTCAATACCAGTTCTACAAATGCATTATTAATAGGCATGCAATGTCAGCCTACCTGATCACGCGTCTTTTGGGCATAGATAATAAAGGCAGCGTTTATGCAGCATGTGCAAGTCTAGGCAGTGTCTGTCGGAGTCTCCCTGCCATTTAGGCATGGCAAGAGAAAACGGCTCCTGCCAGAACACTGTAGCCAAGCTAAATGCAACCAGGCTATGCTTCGTATGGTGGAGAAGCAATGTTCAGCCATTGTATCCATGCTAGGTGTGCATTGCCTATAGGGGCAGTGGTAACAGTGACGTCTGGGAGCGAAGCAGGAGGGAAAGGATCTTCCTGGCAGGTTGGGGGGGAACATACAGGCATGACACGCTCTAGTATCTATAAAAGACCATACTAGGTCCTTGTTGGCATGAGAAAGTAGGAGATGTCCATGCCAAATCTTGGCAAGCTGGTTTCAGCATGCCTGCTAATTTTTAGCACACCTGGGAGAAATTCTCCACTCCAGTTTTTCCTATGGAACAAGTTGTCGTTGGGCTGACCGATGTGGAAGTATCAGATTCATAAAACACAGGCAGATTTAAGCAGGCTAGGATTACCATAGCATGCATGGAAGCTAGCGCAGCCTGGATGACACTTTCCTAAATAGGTCTTCAGGCCAAATTAAGTCCCTCCCAAGATCAGTCTTTACGGTGTGGGGAGGAGCTGCAGACGGTGCTTCCGGCGGATGTGCCTTTGGAGGGTGTTGCGCTCCCCAAAGCGCATGTGGCACGCTTCACACTGGTACGGTCGCTCGCCAGTGTGCACCCGCTGGTGATGTGAGAGCTCTCCAGAGTCACGGAAGCGGCGCTGACAGATGGGGCACTGATGAGGCTTCCGGCCCGAGTGGGTATACTTATGGCGCTCCAAGTGGGAAGTGCGCTTGAAAGCTTTGCCACATGCTCGGCAGACATGGGGCTTACTTTCTGAGTGAGTAATGCTGTGGCGTTGCAGGTAAGACAGGTACTCAAATGTTCGCAAGCATACAGGGCAGCTATATACCTTGCGCAAGGTCCCCCCACTCCCACCCCCTTCAGGGCCCCCTGCTGTCCCCACTCCCTCTTCCACCAGTACAGTATATGGCAGCCCTTGACTATCAATCAACAAGTAATGCCCTAGTCGAGAGGTTTCTCCTTGGTCGAGGCCTCCTGTTGTCACTCCAGGAGCATGTACCCGCCTGTCTGCTCCTGGTAACCCATTCAAGCTCTGAACAAGGGTGCCACTAGGAGAAGGTGCTGGTGGGCGAGAGAGTTTAGGAGGTGAAGATCGGGCATCCTCTCCCTCGACTCCCATCTCCAGCTTGATGTGCTGTCCCACATTGCTTATGGATTCTTGCAGGTAGGAGGTTTCCAAAGCCTCTGGTAGTTTATGAGGATCTCTTATAGATTTGGAATGTCTCTGCAGCTCCATAAGTTTCGTATGAGTGTATGAGTGATTTCCTTGGGCTGGAATGCCAAGTCTGCAAAAAAAACAAAAAAACCCCTGCAGGAATTAACCTATGGAAGGTAGTAATATGTTAATACATACATACATAGTTTTAAAAAACAGTCATACAGGAACAGCCACAAAAGTTTTAGGGGTGAAACTATTAAACTTTAGTTAAATTAGTTTCACTTTAGTTAAACAGCTGTTGTTGACTTTTAAGTATACAAAATTAAGCAGTTTAAACACATAAAATTAGCATCTTAATACAGGTGTCTTTTGGACTCAGTGAAGAAAACCCTACATTACACTTGGATACAGACTCTCATAGACTGAATTCACATATCACACAACATAAACCATAATATTATTTGTTTGGACGTGGCTTACAGTTATGAACTTAGCCAACTGTATTTTATTCTTCAGACCAAAGTGACATCGAGTTATGGCTCAGAGCAGAAGTAGTAACATTTTTCAGCTGGGGGGGTCCACACTATTTTCTTTCCTGGCTGCCAGTGGTGACTTGACAAGTGGTGTCAACACCAGAGGAGATGCAGCTTAAAATTTTCTGCCCATTTTTCCTCCCGTTTGGGGGCAGGGAGGAATTAAATATGGAATGAATGCATTTTGCCTCACAGAGGCTTTCAGAACCATTTTTCATCCTTATTTAGTGTTTTTATTTAAATCACACTTTTATTTAAATTTATTTATTTAAAAATTTAAATTTTTTATTTAAAAAATCACACTGTTTAAAAGTATCCATTTTGCTAATGAGTTTTAGCAAGACAATTTGGCTGGTGCCTGATGCCCTATCAATTAAACTTTTCAGCCATTAATCCAGTGACATCCCAAGCCTGTGCATATCTAGTTAGAAGTGAATTTTATTCTGTTCAGGGAGATTACTCCAGCTAAGTATCCTTATGATTAAAATCTAAGGCAATCTAAGGAACACTAACTTGGCAGCAAATCCAACTCTACTATTTCATTTTATATTTTGGATACTACATTTCAAAACTGGCTTTCCCAACGTAAATGGGTTAACTTATCTTTGAATGCACAGGATTGGGCTGCAAAACTACAATTGATTATATCCTTGATCATATCTAAAGTTTGTAGTCCCAACCAGCAAGACTGCAATTCTAAGCACAGTTAATTAGGAAAGGCCCACTGGACACACTAGACCTGGAAACTTGTATTCTGTATAGCAACAAATATTTTAGCTGGTAGCAAAATAACTGCCCTTGCCTTCTTTCACTTCCCTCAGCAATGTGATTCAGCAGAATTCTGGGAAATCTGGGCAGGCATTACTCCTTAACACCCAACAAAATGTTTATGAGCGCTACAAAAGTCAAGTCTCCTGACAAAACCTATAAATAATACACGAAGTATTTGCTGTCTTTAATAAACATGTGACTCGCTGTTACCTTAATCCTTATCATCTGTGTCCATGATAATCAGATTTCGCTCTTTAAAAGTTGGCCCATACAGCAGATACTCTATGTAAAATTCATGTCAACAATAACAGAAAAGATGCAAAACAAGAAATCTAAAGAAAGATTGACTAACATGGTGAGAATTAATCATCTCCAACAGCCTTCTCCAACTCTACACCTTCTAGATGTGTTAACAACATAAGAATGTAAGAAGAGCAAGGCTGGGTCAGGACAAAGACCCAATAAGTCCAATATTCTGGCCAAGTGGCCAACCCAATGACTATACTGGCTCAGGGATGATAGGCATTGTAGATCAACACATTTGCAAGGATCAGGTAAGAGAAATCTGCTCTTCAGAATGAGGCAAGTTACATTATATATACTACAACCTCTAAAGTTATAATTTCTTAATTAATTAAACCACCACCACCACCACTATTACTACTATTATTACTAAGAGCCAGGTTGGTGTAGTGGTTAATGCATCAGGCTAGAAACCAGGAAACTGAGTTCTAGTCCTGTCTTAGGCATAAAGCCAGCTGGGTGATCTTGGGCCAGTCACTCTCTCTCAGCCCTAGGAAGAAGGCAATAGCGAGACATTTCTGAAAACGTGCCAAGAAAACTGCAGGGATTTGTCCAGGCAGTCTCCAGAAGTCAACACTGACCCAAAGGGACAAACAAAAAAAATCCCTTATAACTAAAGAAAGGATGAGAAAGACTGAGATGTGCATAAAAAAGTTAACTTAGCTTTTAAGGAACATAGACTGGCTTAAACATCAAAATTGACATTAAATCTAAGAAACAGCTTATTCAAAAGTTGTGCATGTAGCTATCTTTAAACAACATTTAGGGAAATGGCAAGGGGTTCCTGATAAGGATGCCTGGCTTCTTGTGTGGCAGCAGCAATTGGAAGGTCAGTGTATTTGGGACTTGGATGTCTCCTCTGAATTTCTCCTAAGTTTGTGGCTTTGTGTTTTGTTCTCATTTGAAGCTTTTCATTTCCAGCTTAGCCAATCAGATGCTTTTGGGAAGTTTGCAGAGGAAATCATAAAAGCAGCAGTGTTCCCTTACTGTTTGTACCCAGCTTCAGAGTTATACAGAAGTGCTTCTGAATGTGGAGGCTCAGTATTTCGTTTATAATGCCTTATAGGAGAGGCATGCAGTGGTAGCTGAGGATGGAACAGATTGGAAGAGGCGAATATGTGTAGCTCAGAGAACCCCAAGGACTCCACAGATTGGAAGAACTGGAAGAGCTATATGGTGGAACTGGCAAAGTAACTGGATCTTGGATTCCCCCACTTTTTGGACAAGCCAACCTGCACTCCTATGACTCTCCTGCTTGAATACTACATGCCAGTAGGCCATCCCTCCAATTACCATATGCAACAACTTTTCTCCATTCCTAATCTTGGACTCGTATGCAGTCTGAGGACTGGCGTCTAAATTCCACAGAAAGATTTTGGCTGAAGTCCATGTGCTTCCTCCTTCCTCTCCCAAATAACATCAGTACCCATACATAGGAGAAATCAAGCCAGGCTCCAAACTTACCCTGCTTGGGTGACGTTCCAAAATCTCTGTTCTCAACTCTCATTTCGGCACCTAAGTTTCGCAGCAAGATGCGGCTGGTGCCACCATGAGCCTTGTGCTACCATCCCGTCGAAAGATGCCACAATAATGTCCAGGCAATGAGTGAGGTCCTTGGGCCACCTATCAAGGTGACAGAATCAACTGGCCAGGAGCGATATAAATCCAAGATCTCTGTGAGGATGTGCCTGACAGAACATACTCCTGCCTAAAAGGCTCAGGAAGAAAAAGACGAGCAGTGGCACCTTCGATGCGGCAGACAGCAATCCAGAAGTAACAATCCAGACAGCAGCAAAGTTGTCCAAGGCACAGTAATTATCGAATGGGTCCAAGATTGGGGGCACCTACCCAGCAGGCACAGCTGGCAGCAAGCAATGCCAAAACATCCTGGCAGCGGCAGATGAATCCAGGCTGATTATTTGCTCAAAGGCTTGGGGGAGTTAGCACTGGGCTCCCAATATCAGTTTAAAATCAGCCACCTCCACCTCCAAGCTGCCACCATCCGATTCGCGCTAACAGTGTGGTTCCTGTGATGAGGCAGAGAGAGAGAGAATCGTTCTGTATATGGTAGCTGCCACCTACCGTCCTCCCACTCCCCAAAATCAATAATGGGGGATATACAGATCAGGGTATCTGTTCCCCTATTAGTGCCTCATTGGACAGAGGGACCTGTCCTAAAGAAAGGGAAGGGAGAACTCAAGAGGACGAGGTCGGAAGAAATAAAGAAGGGAAGACACTGAGGAGAAGGATAAGAAGATCTCTCTAAAGGGTGGAGGATCTACCTAGATCTGGGGTGGGTGGGTAAGGCTGAGGGTGGCGGAGGAGGAGAAAGAGGAGGAGTGAGTGTCACAGCGAAAAACGTCCTGACGGAAACGCAGCAGTTTCTCCCACCGGCTTAGGCTACAGCGGTTCCCGGGTAAACATTCCTCCTGTAGGATTTGAAAAGGCGGCGGGGGGGGGGGGGGCCC